TGAAACAGAGCCATTTCATCAGTTCCCTCTGTGGCATTGCTTCCTGACCACCATACCTTACTTTCCCATTTGCCTGTACATATGAGGTTTCCTACCTGATGACAGCCTGCCACAATTTTTCTCTGAAAACTCACATTCCCTACCAGACTAGTAGTCAATGTCCAGTCTCCATCCTTATCCTTATTATATGACAGGTTACCTTTCTGATCCATTTCTAATATTTTGGAATAATTTAATTCCTGGGCTTCCCATGGCCATTTTTTCTCCCATGTTAGTCCCTCCACAAACAAAACAATTTGATACATTCAGGGTATGGGCTATGTCTTCTGCCAATTTGACAAAGGTATTTGTTACATGACTAGGAATTTCAGGTATATTCAACTTCTCCATCTCCAAATAATATGACCAGAACAATCCTTTCGTATCTTGTGTTGCTCTGGTAACCTTAGTAACATACCATCGAAGGGTTACAAGGGGATCTTTTCCCTTAGCATAGATTCCTAATCCGTAATCCTCCTTCCATAGTTTTGTCGGGATACATGTGATCTTTATAGGATTACATTCATTCTGTCGGCAGTCACTACTAGCTACCCCATTTTCCAACTTGCATCTCTGGGTACCCCCTGGCTGATCTCCTGTCCACATAACTGCACAAGACCAATATGGACAATAACTATATGTGCTTCAATCACTGCATTCTCCCTGCTTTCGGCACATATACTTTTTGTCCAACATATAACTTCTTTCCCATTCTAATGTCCCACATGTTGACTTCCATACATCACAGTTACGATTAATAGCTAAACAGGCATCAAATGTTATCTCTACTGGATTCCCCAACTTCCTAAATTCTGTCTTATTCAAAAGTTCTTCCCTCCCACATTCTGTTGTGTATATTGACATTTCATAAGTAGTTATTTGTTTGGCTTCTGCGGGGTTATAGCACTGCACCTTATCCTTCAGTATACACATGTGATATATGGTATTGTTTACTTGACAGGTTTGGGGTGTGTGTTCCTTACACCCATCAGGTTTCTGAGTGTGATAAATCAAGGTTTGAGAAACTCGTGTGCCCTGTAATGTTGTGCATGGGTCACAATTCTCCTTGCTTGTTGCTTCTATCCTGGGGATATCTGACTCACTTCATAGTCCCACTACCCATCCACTTATGCATAATCCCAGTCCAACAATCACCATGTTCTGCATCCTCCCAGTCCTTTTTATTCCGATCTCTCAATGCTATCTCAATAGTGGGGCAAGTCTTAAGTGTATTTATTTATTTATTTAATTTATATACGGCCCTTCTCCCAGAAGGGACTCAGGGCGGTGAACAGCCAAAATTAAAAAAACATACAAATACAAAAGTTAAGATAATTAAAAAGAATTAAATCACTAGCTTCCAATTTAAATCCCCCAAATCCATAAAATTTAAAATCCCAATTTAAAAACCAACCAACATAATAAGATGTGTCCAAACCTATCACCAAATAGTGCTCTAGCACATCTTCTATGATCTTTATGTCACACTCAATCAAACACCCTGTGCATAAAACACAATCTATACAATGAGCACAACAACAACACTCACATCCACAATTACAAAACCAACACATTGGAAAGACAAAATCTTGGTACATTCGAGAATCGCCTTTCACCTATTACAAGCAGTATTTCTTTGGTAAGCAGACAATTTATACTATGTGGGTGTTCAGAAGAAGATCCGGGCAGTTAGGGATTGGAGTAGCTGGTGCCTTGATGCTCTTTGGCTGTCCACAAAACCACTGTTTATACCTGTAAAACACAATAATTGACAGGACCAATACCCCCAATCCCCAACACGCCCACATCCAACTCTCCTCCCACATGGATCCTTGTTCTTCAGCTGCTTGTCTTTAATCAGCCTCCAAAATAATGCGCCAACCCAGGTATCCGGTCCACTCTTTTGATCTGTTGTGGGTCCCCACAATCGATCACAGCTCCAAGTATCCTATATGTAAAATAGAAAAAGCTGTCTTTAAACACGCTTGAATGTTAGCTTAGTGGGATTTTGTTTATCCATGGTCACTTTCCAGCCAGATTCTGCCGCCGCCTTGACTCGTGTCCAATGAATCCACGACTTTGATTCTGCAATCTTAATAGCAAGGGGAGAAGTCATAATAACAGTAAAAGGTCCTTTCCATCGTCCTTCCAGTGGCTCCTTCTTCCAATGCTTAACCCATACTTGATCCCCTGGTTTAAATGGGTGACAATGGGTTACTAACCGGGGGGGCACTTGTTCCATCACATATCGCTGGAGCCTCTCAACTTGCTTATTAAGTTCTTGTACCATTTCCATATTCCAAACTCCCCCCTTATGCCCCAAATCTGGCCACCCAGCCAAGTTCCTTCTTAACAACCCTGGCGGTCGTCCATACATTAACTCATATGGCGATAACTTGTGTTGGCCCCTTGGCGAGCTTCTGATTGCATATAAAGCTAGTGGTAAAGCATCAGGCCACTTTAGATGACTATCTGTACAAATCTTAGTAATTCTTTCTTTAAGGGTCCTGTTCATTCTTTCTGCACATCTACCTGATTCTGGCCGAAACGCACTGTGAAACCGCCACTTTATCCCTACCGCCGTTGCAACGGCCTGATTAATATGATGAACAAACTCAGGACCATTGTCCGACGAGATATAACTGGGAATTCCAAATCTGGGAATTATCTCTTTTAGTAATAGTCTTGCCACCTTGATCAAAGATTTGGATCTCTAGTATTTGAGTTTTATCCCAATATCGAATCTTAGCCTGGCTCAGTGTGGCTTTGTGGGCGTGGGTTTGTGGGTGTGGCAGGGGAAGAATATTGCAAAAATCACTTTTTTCAGGCCTCTGGGTAGTCCTTTTGTGCATATGGACTACTCAGAGGGTTGAAAAAGTTATTCTTGACTGGTCCTCGCACTTTTGACCAGTCCTCAAATTTACGACTGTCCTCACATTTTATGTTTTTCACCCTATCTTGTCACCATGGTGAAGAGAAGCAGTTGTGAAATGAGTGACACGGTGGTTAAGAATGCTACAATGGACATAAATGATGACCAGTCATAAGTGCAAAGACCGTTCAAAAGTGCGAGGACCTGTCAGAAATCACTTTTTTCAGGCCTCTTGTTAGTCCTTTTGTGCATATGGACTACTCAGAGGGCTGAAAAAGTTATTTTTGACTGGTCCTTGCACTTTTGACCTGTCCTCGAACTTATGACTGTCCTCACATTTTACGTTTTTTGCCCTATCTTGTCACCATGGTGAAGAGAAGCAGTTGTGAAATGAGTGACATGGTTGTTAAGAATGCTGCACGGGCATAAAGGTGAGGATGGTCATAAGTGTGAGGACAAGTCAAAAGTGCGAGGACCTGTCAGAAATGACTTTTTTCAGCCCTCTGAGTAGTCCCTATACACATAGCCATGGCCACCTGGTCACATGACCAGCTAGCCACACCTACACAGTCACATGACCTCCACACCACGCCCACAAAATAAGTCATGCCCACAGAACCGGTAGTAAAAAAATTTAGAGCCCACCCCTGGTTTGACTGACTGAAAGATGGCATGCATCCTGCAAAGCTCAGCTAGGGAACTTCTGCAGACCTACAGAATGGAGATCTCAGTGCACACAGGCGGACTGTGAAACCAAGGGGGACAAATGTTAGAATGAATGTGAATGATCACTTGAAAAATTGGGAACGCACAGATATTTTAAAGAATACTATACAAATATAAAGCCATACAAAATCCTGTTGTGTTATTTAGAAAGCACAAGTAAGCCTGGATGAATGCTGACCGTCAGCGAGGGCAGGTAAGAGAAAATGGCCCTGTGCAACAAGGCGGCTCATGACTTGTCCTTGCCTATTCAGTTAGGAAGTCCATGAAACAGTAAAGAGGAAAACAAACTGAGGCAAAGCATCTAAGAGATGACCTGCAGAAGAGCAATCCACAGTTTAATCACAATTTCAAGATTTTAGATCAGATCTTTCATCGTACTAGGACGTGGAATACATTTTATCAAACTTAATGGGGTTTATTTACCAGTAAGCATTCACTGGCTTACAATATAAACAATTCAGAGAATAATCCTACATGCGTAAAACCTATAATGGAATAATCTTTTGTATTGTATTAAAGTAATTATCCATGTTGCCTCCATGACATTATCCAGCTTTTTCCTGAGCACTTCCAGAATAACTTTCCTGCATAACTTTGAACTACTCTTTAAATTCAGGGTTTTGATTCACAAAATAATCATAACCATGTGATATTATCTTCCATACATGCAATGGCCCAGAGATCCCATAGCACTGAGTTATGAGGTGATTAGGATGTTATATGCTCAGAAAAACAAGTAAGATGACCTGTCTAATATTTGTAAAGGGATACATTTAACTCCAAACAGCCCTGGTTCTGTTCGGAATTAAATTAATTCTCTTCAGCCAACTCTGAACAGTTGACTGGGAATTATAGCTATCTCTCTCATATCCATTGGAAAACAACACAAGAAGGTTGTGAACCCAAGATCTCTCACAGTTCTGTCTCAGAAGCTACTTAGGTGTATATTCCTCCACCTGATGATTAGAGGGCATGTCAAATGGAAAGAAGTAGATGGTAGTGTGGTGGAAAGAAACAGGATACCTGATTCTTCTAATGGAATCTTCTTGAGGAACAATCTACCTTGCTATGAATCAGTTAATCAGTAGGAAAGGGTCGCTTAAAAAATATCTTTCTTAGGCACATACAGGACTTCCTCCTTCTACAGCAGGGGTCGCCAAACTTGGCAAGTTTAAGACTTGTGGATTTCAACTCAAGTTGCTGGCTGAGGAATTCTGGGAGTTGAAGTCCACAAGTCTTAAACTTGCCAAGTTTGGAGACCTCTGTTCTACAGGATGTATTCCTTTAGGAGCTGTTCTAAGTTCCCATTTTTGTGGCTTTAGAAAAAGTTTGGAGAGATTCTTCCTTTGCAGCTTCTTTGAGCTAGTTTACAGTAAGGCTATTCATAGTAATCTGAGTTAATTTAGAGTACTTAAATTTTTTATATTTTGTGTAGTATATTTGCTGTTAACTTTTTAGGTACCTTATGGCATTATATGAACTACCATAATGAAAGGCATTATATGAACCTCCACTAACAACAACAACAACAACAACAACAACAATAATAATAGCCTCAGTAGTTACAGGTTGATCACAAAGGGTTAAAAATGTATGGTTTTCATTGTCTTCCCTTTCAGATCTAAATATAAAGAAAGTAAAGACAATGGAGGTGAAACATATATTTCTTTAGAATTAAGCGGAATTGAATAAAGTTGCATTTTTTAAAACAATATATAAAATTCAGCCAAGATATGCAAATTTGCCCACATTCCAAATCATCAACAAGGTCATATGCTTATAACCCAAAGTTGGGTGCATATATAGATCAGGAAATTGGAAGAATTTCCTCTCTTTATACATGTTCTCCACGAGACAGGATGAATATACTTAATAGATTATTCTAATGCATAAAGAATAGTTAATGAAATTTTATGAGGATTTAGTTCATCCATTTATGTTATGTAATGTCATATTGCCCTGTAGATGGCAGCATTGTTCCATTGTGTTACATTTTCTAATTTCATCAACATAGAAAAATACTGCAATTTATCACAGTTGCACTATTGCAAAATTTAATGAAGAGCTTTGCACAGTTTAATGAAGAGCTTTAGTTTGGCCAATTTCCACCCAGTTTTACCAAGCAGAATATTTAGATAGAAATAAAATAGAAATAAAACAAACAAAATGAACACATTTCATAATTCAGAAAATAGTAATCCATGTTGCAATCATGTTTCATATAATCTAATACTTTGGGCTCCTGATCTAATGGACAGACATTCACATCTATTAGTATCCACTGATCTCAGGGAAACCTATGAGTATTGTAAGCATTTGCAAGCACATTCACATGAAATGTTTGCCCAATTTTCCACTACCATATATATCATAGACACAGGCTGATTGATTGTTTTTTGGGGGAAATAATAGAAGAAAAAGTATCCAGTAGATTCCAGTCAAATTAAACAGGGATTAAGAGTTTATGTGGCATATATAAACTATGGGATCTATTTAATTTGGGGGTGAGCAATGTGTAGCCTTTGAGTTGTAATTAGCCACCAGCACCTGGGAGCTAAAGCCAGTTTGATCACTGATCAAAAAAAAAAAGATGGATTGTGCTGAATCATAGTTGGAGAGTCATAGGGCTTCTACTCTTCATTTAATTGGTAGTTACACAACTGTTTTCTGTGTAACATCTGCATTTCCTAAAAGCACTGCAATGAATATATTTATTTAAAGGATGTATATCACAAGTTAGCAACACAGAGCTTGCAGGCCCTGGAGCTTGTGTCATCCTTCCAAAATGAATGTGCCTTCCCCAAAATTAATTGTTTTATTTTTAAGAACAAACTGCAGAATCCCTGAGTGATGTGCCAAGGCTGGATTTTCTACACCCAGGCTAGGATTATTTGTCTGCTCCTGGCCGTAGAAAACAAAATACTGCTATACTTCTGAGAAGACTCTCATCTAACATTTCCGCCTGGTTCAGTCGGTTAACCTTTTGCAATGCTCATGCTTGGAAGGTTAGTCAAATTTAACTGGTTCTTTTTCTTCTTTTCCAACCCAACAAAGGAGGAGGAGATGTCTGTTCATCGAGCAGAAGAAAACTGAATAGAATATGACCAGATTTCATGGTTGTATCTTGGTGGGCAGAACAGTAAAAGAAAGATCAACTTTCAAAATGGGCTGAGTCAGATGGGGCCATGAGGTAATTTCCCCTTCAAATTCCTTCAGTGTTTATCTATGGGAAAGGCAGATGGCAAGAGACTTACAATATTATTGCCTCCTCCAGCCTAAATTCCTTCCACCTGATCAAATCCCTCCCTCCAGTCTAAGCTTCTTCCACCTGGTCAAGTACCTCCCTCCAGTCTAAGCCCCTTCCACCTGGCAGGAGAATGTGCAGCCTCCCCTCAGCTTCGCAGGGACCCATATGCACAAATGTCTGATCAATGGTGATAAAGGACTTGGAGGAAATGTCAGAAGTCATGCTTTAAGTGCTTTCTCTGTCTTATTTTATCTCTCTGTTTTATCCAAAGGTACTTTGGGTACTTTGGGGTACTTTGATGAGAAGCGAAACAACGTCAAAGAAAAACCAGAAAGTCCAGTTGCCTCTAAAAAAAGCACCTTTGGGACAACCATGACTGAGAAGGTCCATAGACATCTCCCTGTTTTACTTTTTACAATAGTTCTGTCAGATTAAGTACAATATGTTGAGAGAGTTTGGCCCCAGGCAACACTTAATAATCTTCATGGTTGAATTACTGAGATACTTAAGTATCATTTGCTGCATACAGTTTTCATTGTCTTTCTCCTCCCCTCCTTCTATTTCCTCAGATTTCAGTTTCCATATGTCCCAGAAACCATGAAGTTATCTCACACATACAAGGTTAAAATCTTCAGGATAAAGAATTTAATATTAACCAGCATCCATCTGTAGTTTCAATCATTACTCTATGCATGGAAATATATACCCAGCAAACTGAAATATTAATTTACAAATTATATTTGACTAAAACAAGAACAGACTAGCATTCTGAACAAAGACACTACCTTAGATTATCAGTCCAGCATCATAGCTCACTTTAGCCAGGTACTCTTCAACCATCTTGTTTCTGTATTTCCCATTGGACCAGGAAATTACAGTTTTCTTCAAGAGTGAAAGCCCATGTAGTTTTTTAAATAGCTCAGGCTACATTTTTCTGCATGGAACACAGCTCTACCCACCCTCCAGAGGTGGGTTTCAGCAGGTTCTGACCAGTTCTGGAAAACTGGTAGCGGAAATTTTGAGTAGTTCAGAAAACCGGTAGTAAAAATTCTAACTGGCCCAGCCCCATCTATTCTCTGCCTCCCAAGTCCCATCTGATTGGGAGAAAATGGGGATTTTGCAGTAACCTTTCCCTGGAGTGGGGAAGGAATGGAGATTTTACAGTATCCTTCCCCTGGAGTGGGGTGGGAATGGAGATTTTACAGTATCCTTCTCCTGCCGTGCCCACCAAGCCATGCCCACCAAGCCACACCCACAGAACTGGTAGTAAAAAAAATTGAAGCCCACTACTGCCCCCCTCTCCCATGTCCCAGTAGCTGATATGCCCATCAAAGACCTCACTAAAACCATTAAGTCTAAAGTTTAAAATAATGCTGTGAATATTTGTTTCATGAAATAAATAAATCAAATGATAAATGTCAAATAGAGGGGGATGTGTTGCTAAAATCATGTTTTCTTTATGAGTCAGTAACCAAGAAAAGCTTAGCTACCTTCCTAGATTATTAGCTGCTCTTTGAGGTACGCCCTCTAGTTAGATATGAAACAAAATGCTATTACATGGAGGAAATTCCATGCCCCTAATTGACACTACAGCCCCAGGAGCAATACTATTTTTAATTAAAACAATTCAATATGTTCTCTTTAAATACTTATATATTGAAGCTGAAATGATTATGTACTTCAAAATGTCTTCGCAGAACTCTGATTCACTGTTATTCTGTTGCCAGTCTATCAACAGCCTGGAGACAGGTCTGTGCATCAAAAGAACTATCAATACACAATGAAGTATTCCTGTGCTAATGAACAATGAAGATGCCATCAACATAGGAAGGAAAAATCCTACCATTTTCTTCTGTTTATGTGCAATATTTTTCATGTTATAAGTAAATTGAATCAGAATGCAGAGAGAAACATTGGAAAAAGCCACAAATCATTGAACATTAGGGTAACAATCAGTAAGTTCTAAATAAATAATGTTTATTTTTGAGTTTTATACCAAGGTCAAACATTTTAGAGGTCCGCTGATATCTTAGTATGCCATCACTTGAAAATAAACTTTCAAACAAACTGTCATCCATTAAGCTTGCTTTCATAATTGATTCCTGAAGTATTGTATGTACCTTGACCAGGCACAATCTTTCATGTGTGTGTGTGTGTGTGTGTGTGTGTGTGTGTGTGTTTGTCTGTCTATCTCTGTGTCTGTGTCTGTGTGTGTGTGTGTGTGTGTGTCTGTCTGTCTGTCTGTCTGTCTGTCTGTCTGTCTACTTGCCAGTCTGCTTCTCTGTATCTTCCACACAGAATTGAAATGCCACATTAACAAAGTGTCATCTGGTCTAAGGGGAAAAAATAGAAAAAAATAAAATAAAACACAACATTTTAGTATTCACATGGCAAACTGGTAGTAAAAAAATGTTTTTTTATACAACTTTTTGTCTGTTTGATATCTTCTATTCTACTATCATAATTCCTGATCTGCAAATTCCATATCCTGTTTTCTTTCTTCCTTATTCCCTATGGCTTTTTGTTTTAAAAGAACCCTAACATTTATCCTAATTAGCCAAGTTATTCAATTTCATATTTAAATAAAGGGAACGGAGTGTGGAACAAGGTTGATTCATCTTCAAATCACCCAGGTGCCACTTGGTGACAGTAAATGACACATTATATCTAAGAGTAGTTTACTCAGAATAGTTGGGAGAAAAAACAGTTGGTAGATATGCTAGACATGTCCTTTGAATTTGATGAAGAATAGATTGAAAAATAAAACCAAATTAAAAGATGTATGAGTTTTTGTTTCTTTATATGCACACATACAAACAAACATGAACATATACACTAAATGTTATCTAATTCTTTCTCTATAATTGTTAAGTGTAGGAATTTAGGCTTCTTTGACATCAAAATAAATGCTAGGTGATAATAAATAAAATGCAACTCAAATTAATTTAGTTCATCCTTGAAGAGTACACACTTCCTGAATGACAGAAGGCATTAATTTTCTCCACAATAACATATTGTGGACCCACAATCTTCTATGGCTTTTGATTTTAAGAATCCTCATCACAAAACTTAATCTTGCTGTAGAAAAAAATTCTACTCCTGTTCTTTCTGATCATGACCTGAGAGATTCTCTGGGCCTTACAGCAGTGGTGGGTTTCTACCCGTTCGCCCTGATTCAGGTGAACCAGTAGTGGCAGCGGCGGGAGGTTCCGCCCACCTACCATGATGTCATCATGGATGCTCTGCGCATGAGCAGAAGGTTCTATGCATGTGCAAAAGCGCCGCACGCGAGCAAAGTGTGTGCTCACGTGTGTGCTCACAGTCCCAAACCGGTAGTGAAGGTAAGCGAAAACCACTACTGTCTTACAGCCCTCAAAATTCTAGTTTTGTGGTGTGTGTGGAACACAGAGGGGAAGAAAAACAAAATTTCTAAAACACTTCAGCGTCAACCTCTGTTTCAGTCTTGAACAACAGTTGCAAAATCTCTTTATGTTTAATTGCATCCACTGAACTTTTGCTTTTTATGTTGTGTGCAATATTTGCTTTTGAAAGATAACATTTTGTCAGAGAGTTTATTCACGATGATGCAATAGGATGCCTTTAGGGAACCAGCCAAAAGCAGGTTGGAAAGGATTGGGGACAATATGATATATATACATGGGATGTGCGTCGATAGAGCAATTGTGAATCAAAAGTATTTTTTGTGGTAGTGGGGACAGTTTTTTTAAATTAACTTCTTGAGAAACGAGTTCAATGCTAGTGAAAAACAGAAGATAGTTACAAAATAGTTTCATTTTCATTTAATTGTATAAGTCTGAGAAACCTTGCTAATATTACCATTATTTATTTGCATTGTAAGTTTGTGGATTCAGCGATGGCAGTCAACTGTGATCATTGATATTACTGTAACATCATGGTGGGTTTACTTTAGAGCAGTGCTTCTCAAGCTGGGCAACTTTAAGAGTGAGGATCTTCAACTCCAAGAATTTCCCAGAAAGCATGGGGATTTATGATTAGTGCTTTTTAAAATTAAATATTTTTCTATTTAAAAGGTTTTCTTTCTTCTCAGACATCGGTTCCTGGTTTCATCTACCATTGCCTCATGTTTTACTTGAAAAGTTACCTCCTATTACTGTATGGGATGGAGTGAGCAAGGTGAAGTAAAGCTGTGCATTTGTCAAACCTTACAAAGATTACAATCTATAGGACTGGAAACAAACAACAAAAGATGCAGTATCACAATATTTGAGATCAAGCACCATCGACTATGACACTATTAAAAACGAATAATAATTGTGGCAATCTTGTGCGTATCCCAGGATGATGTAGACTATATGTAAGCCAGTAGCTAATTACAAACAGGCTTTGCAATCCTCTGTCCTCCTACTCATTCAGTGAAATTTCCTGATTTACCAAATTTGAATACCAAGCTGAGGTTGGGCTTTCATAAATGATGTACTGTTTGTCATCAGCTTCCTTGCTTTTATAGCAATGCCCTGTTTTTAATGAGCCGACGCTTACTTCTAATGACTGGTCTCCTCCCCGGGAGGTGAGCGGCAGTAGAAGAAAATAAGATATGAGGTTGGGTTTGCTGAGGAAGGAAATTTACTCATCTGAACTAGGAATGATGCTCTTCTGGATTTCAAAGACATATTTGAACCTTTGGAAATTGCTAAACTTGCAAATTAAACTAGCAATAATGAATGGTAGGAATTTTAGTACAGCCACAATTTCTACATCTCCAGTCCGTGTTTGTACAATTCATCACAATCACAATCCAGATAGGACATTCAGCTTAAAAACACATATACAAACATTTATTTTATGGAGAACTATTTATGTTTAAAGAGTCAGATTGGCGTAGTGGTTAGGGCACCAGGCTAGAAACTGGGAGATCAGAGACCTAATCCCACTGTAGGCACAAAGTCAGCTGGGCAAGTCATTCTTGCCCAGCCTTAGGAAGAAGGTAAAGGCAATACCACTTCCCAAAATGTCTGTGGAGATTCTCAGTCATCCAGGTCATGGTTGTCCCAGAGGTGCTTTTTCAAGAGGCAACTGGATTTTCTGGTTTTTCTTTGAAGATGTTTTGATTCTCATCCAAGAAGCTTCTTCAGCTCAGAGAAAAACCAGAAAGTCTAGTTGCCTCTTGAAAAAGCACCTTTGGGGCACTTCCAAAAATATTGCCAAAACAACAGGGAATATGCAATCAGTCAGCAGGACTTAACACTGACTAGATATAGATAGATTAGACTGACAGACAGATAGACATAGACAGACAGATAGATACCCCTTAATTAAGAATTAAGTGTGATGACTGCATGGTTGTCAACAGGTAATATCCAATGTTTAGTGTAGATTTTTTAAACTGATGCTCTTCAATTGTGTGGTGCTACAACACTAATTTGACCATAGAATGGCCAATGAATGTGCTGACTGAGAGAATGATGAGAATTTTAATCTAACTATTAAGAGGATACCAGAGTAGGAAGACTAGCCTAATGGAACAAACTATATGTGACCTGAAGTCACTGCATTCCACAGGGATCCTTGGGGGAGGGGTGGAACCAGTACAGCAAATGATATCACATGAATCACGCTACAAATTATGCTGTTTGCATGTTGCATCTGCCTGTGACATCATTGCAGCTTATATTTATTATTTTCATGGCATTTAGAATTCCTGTGTCTAGCACAAGCAGCAGTCAATGGTTTATTGAATAGGCCACTGTTGGCTAACTTCATTGTACTAGCCTATAAATCATGGCTAGTATGATTTGCAAAGTCAGCTGTGGTGTACATCACATTACTTTAAAAAAAAAATTAACATGGAAAGAATAAAGACCTGCCTTTTGTAGGTCTTGGCCAATAGACAAAACAGCACACGCTTACATTCCCAATCCTCTATCACATTTTCTCTGGTCCTAATACTTGTTTTGGCATTTTGGGGGGATAGTTATGGCAGCTATGGGGAAACAGATTCCATATGGTAATAGCATGCAATATCAAAGGTTGCTGCAGAAAACCTGTCTTCCTCTAAGGACCTCAAGTCAGTGTATCTTGATTTCCATCCATACCAAAGCTTGAAGCCCTGCGGCAAGAGTTTAAACAGTTTTTTCCCCTCTAGCCATCAGCTGGGACTCAGGAGGCAGCAATAGATTGGGGGTGGGGCCAAATAAAAGGTAAGAATAATGTAGGGGTGGGTGGGTGGGTGGGTGGGGCGGGGGGGGGAGAACTGGCTCAGTGATGTCATATCATCACCGCTATCGGCTGGAGAACCAGGCTGAACTGGGAGGAACCCACCACTGGTTGGGACCCTATTTTTTTAATTCCTTGTATTTGTTTGTGGAGTGCAGTATAACATACTGTAAATGACCAGTGAAAACAGTGTATATATCAGTGATGGCTAACTTTTTCTGGACCGAATGCCCAAAGCATGCATGTGCCCAAACCCACAAAATGCAATGCGCGCAGCTCCCTGCATGTGCCCTGCCCCCCGCATATGCGTGTGTGGCTCCACATGCACACTGCCCCCGTGCATGCGCACGTGCCCCCTGCCTACACCCCCCCGTGCATGCACAGCAAAGACCTGGTGGGAGGCGTGCGCGCATGCATGGCAGAACTGAACTTGGGTGACGGCTTGCGTGCCCGCAGAGAGGGCGCTACGTGCCACCTGTGGCATGCGTGCCATAGGTTCGCCATCACAGGTATATATCATAGTAGACAAGCCATGTGTGTGATAAATAACAGATGCCCTGAAGTTATGCTGATCCCATTCAGTAAGCAGAGAAGCTTCTTTGTACTGCCTGTAATTCTCAAATTACTATGTTTAAATGGTCCTAAAATGTGCAGCTGAATCTTCTAACTCTTCTAATCTTCTAACACTCAGTTATTGCTAAAACACTTCCTATTACCTACATCATGATCAGACTTGCTTGGCACCAGGGCTTCTCAAATGACTACTGGAACAGTTCATGAGTCAGCAGTCTTCAGGATTCCCTCCCACTTAAGAAGATGAACCAAAAAGAAAGAAAAAAGCTGGTTTATATGACCAGGGTTTAGAACTACCTAATTAA